TAAATGTTATCTAGTGTTCTAAGCATTGGAGTCATGGTGATGAGGAAGGCATAGCCACTGCCCTTATGTAGCTTATAGTCTAGTTGGGAGGGACAGGTACTTATACATTCATGTTAATAAATGAAATAACTTAGATAGTGGTAAGGACTATGAAGAAGGCAAAATGAGAGACTGTGAAAGGAGAATGACTTGGGATGTAGAATGGGACTTGGGGAAGACCTTTCTTAGAAGGTGACATTTGAGCCAAGTCTTCAAAATGACTCCTTTTGGAGAGATTCAATCTTCAGTAATGAAAAAAGCTAATATATTTATTTCATGCTTCATAGGTAAACCTGCTATTGCTCATCGAGATATAAAATCAAAAAATATCTTAGTGAAAAAATGTGAAACTTGTGCCATAGCAGACTTAGGGTTGGCTGTGAAGCATGATTCAATACTGAACACTATTGATATACCTCAGAATCCTAAAGTGGGAACCAAAAGGTAAGATAACTTACTTTGGTAGCATACTAAGACTTATGACTGCCTTATGAATGGGACATGAATGACTGGGATATGTGTATAGGGAGAGGGTGCTGGATTCAAGTGGGAAATCATTAGGCCCAAGACAACAAGAAGTCTTCTCTGGGTGACTGAGAAATCAGTGGCACAATGGTAATAAAGCAAGGAGAGTTGGCATTTTGGTCATATTGAAAGTAGCGATTTGGGTAGGGAGTCCAGTGGAGATGAATGGTGGAAGTGATAGTGCTATATTATTTTTAATGTGCCACATTCTGAGAATACATTTTTTCACAAAGAGGGGGAAAATGTTAGTAGTGTGTATCTCCTCCAAACCCTTTATATGTTGCAAATGAAGGTGTAGTTCTACACATTCAGATTCAAAACAACAGATACAGAATCAGCATATGGGACTAGATAGGTGAGGGACTCTATATAATAAATATATTTATGTGCTATTGTATTCTCTCAATATTTAAAAATATTATGTAACATATTCACCTATAGTTGCACTCAACCTTAAATCTCCCAAATTGATGTACATTAAGATAATATGAGTTTGGATACAAGTCCCACTTTCAAAGAACAGAATCCCTGAAAGTTAAGAACAAGTATGACATAAATAGAGCATATCACACATATGTCAGGACAGGCTCATTAGTAATGAGATTTCGGGTGTTTTCTTGTTATAGCTAGACTGTGGCCATATGGCCAGCATACTTCCATTTCTTTTCATTTGAAATTCAGGCTCTGTGCTACTTTGGCATAATTCCAGATTTCTTGACCTTGAAATCAGAAACAACCAAAACTCCCTGGAGTTGTTAAAGGCCCTTTAGAGTAGAGAATTTCTAAGCTGGTATAGTTAGCCTCCAAGCCATATATTTGACATTCTACGCCAGTCACTCTGAGTCCTTCACTTGGTTCCCTGGGAGACTTTAGTGGGACCCCAGAAACACTTCAGGATAGTTTGTTCAGACTAGGCAGCCCTAAGGGATCTCTTCTCTTTTCCCTTTATAAAACGAGACTTAACTTGTCCATCAGGGAAGCCTTGAAGGCTGGATTCCTTCAGAGGATCTAAAACTTTTAAAAGATTTGGGAGAGTATTGCATCTTCACTTCAATATTCTGAGAAATCCTTGAAATGTCCCTTGGACATCTAAGCTCAGTTGGGTCCTGTGGACTTCTCTGATTTAGTCCTATTCAAACAACGATGTGGTTTTCTTGGAGCCAATATAATATCTATATATCTATATATCTTAGAACCAATGTATAATAAAATTGTTCATTGACAGCAAGTATTTGTGGAATGCTGCTGACCTCCAGTTCTATTTAAAATGTTTTTTTTAATTAGTTGAATAAATGTATTATTTAATTTTATTCTATTATAGTGGTACAGAGCTACCTGTAAAAATGATGTAAACTATCTTATATTATGTATCAGAATTTATTAAGATTGTGTTTTACTGGACTGCTATAAAGTCATACACAGAATCTGAAATGTGTATGTTTTTGAAGGTACATGGCCCCTGAAATGCTTGATGATACAATGAATGTGAATATCTTTGAGTCCTTCAAACGAGCTGACATCTATTCTGTTGGTCTGGTTTACTGGGAAATAGCCCGGAGGTGTTCAGTTGGAGGTAAGATTTTGGAAATATTCTTTGTGTCTGCCTTTCCTTGATGCTCTAATTCAGTGTACTATATTGAATCATTTCTAAATATTTAGAAGATTAACTTTTGGTGATATCTTTCCAGTGGCAGAACTGTAGCATCTTGAACATAATGGAGATTTTAGGTTGTGATTACTGCTTAGTTCTCCTGATAATTCTGACTTCTATAATAATACTTTGCAAAGCACTTGAAAGTTTTCTTTCTTATATCCTTGTATCCTTACTTTATACCAGAAATGAAACTCAAAGAGGTTAAGTGATTTGCCAAAGCCACAGGATTTAAACTGATGCCTCCTGGTGCTCACTCTTTTCTTGTTCCTTTCTTTCCTGTGATGATAAGTGTAGGGGGGTTAAAGTGCAGGGTGGAGGTGAGCGAAGACTTAACTTTCTGACTCTATTGCTCCCAGCAGTTTAAAAATAAATAATGAGAGGAAGAATTTGGGCAGATGAAACCCTACAAACGCAGTCTGATTAAATTATTGAATCAGTGGAGAAGAGTTAAATCCTGGTAGAAAATGACTTAGAGTTTTCAGTTTCAAGTGAGACAGACTTGTGCCTAAGCTTGGTTTAGCAACTTCCTGAATATCTGACTTTGGGTGAGTTAAGTGGTCTCACTTTCTTCATCTGTAAAATGAAGATAATCAAACTGACTCTTTGGGCTTTAAGGGTTTAATGGATTAATTCAGTTAATTCATGTGACACTTTTAGTACAAAGCCTACTTATAGTCAACATTCAATGGAAGAACTGTCATTATTAAACCACTGTCAGTTTTTGGATTTTGTGCCTTACATCAATCTTATTTTTTTTAAATGAAAAGCTTACAAGGTTAAAATTACATTTTAATGAGAAAATATGCTTTTCCCCTTTGATTCTTAGATAAGATAGATAATAAAGCATTTAGGAAGATGAAACTATACATAAAAGTAATAGAATTATAGTGGTGCAGAAATAACAGGAGCACTTGAATCCCCAAGCCTGGGGTTAAGTTGCAGATCTACCACTTACTAGCTGTGTACCTTGAGCAAACTCACGACACTCTTTGTGCCTCAGTTTCCTAGTTCTGTAAAATGGGGTAATATGGTACTTTCTTTAGTCAGTGGTTTTGAGGGATAATTAGTTAAAAGATATAAAGGGCTTAGGATAGTGCTTGGTAAATGGCAAGATTCAAACAAGTTTGTTATTATTTTTTTAAATTTCATACTGATATTTGTCTAGATTTGCTTTTAGGATTTTGTCTTTAAATTTTCTTCAACAGTTGAAATAGTAATTTATTTAATATGATTTGAAGTTCGTTTTCCAAATTATGGCACATCTTAAATATTTTAAATAAAAGAACTATAGTTAATTCAACTGATTATGTAAGGAAATTCTTGAATTTAAGTAATATTCTGATAAGTAAAGTCAAATCTTTGTCTATTATTTGTGACTCTTTAAATGTTAACCTTCATGTTGAACTATCCATCTTTAAATTCTTTTGGCCATTTCTTTGGAACATTGTCAGATGTAGTAATTCTAAAATCCAAATGTAAAAACTCAGCTTTTAAAAGATTGCCTAATAATTTTCAAAAAGAGAAAGCTAATTTGTTTTGAAAAGGAGAAATATACTTTTTCATGGAGAAATATATTTCATTCCCAGAGCAATGGGACCATGATATAAATTTTGCAATTAAGCATTACTTTTGAATTTCACAATGGCATTTTATGTAAATCAAAATTTATGTAATTTTCATAATATAAAATTATATTTTATAATTATTAACAGTTATATACATGTAATATATTTTATATAAAATTATACATAACTATATAGTTATATATTTGATAAAATAATTATATATACTTTTGTTTTATATTATATGAATTATTTAATTATCACATTATATAAATTTTCATTAATTTACATAACTGTTCAACTGAGTGTTTTAAACTTATTTGGTTTCACACTGATACATTATTTTAATAAGCCTGATTTTCCAGTTTTCTAGGATGCCATTTGTGCCTAGAAAACTTAATTGATATTATTTTGAGATAAACATTTTATTTATTATTCATACTGGGAAATTTATTATGCAAATTTTTACAGGAATTGTGGAGGAGTACCAGTTGCCTTATTATGACATGGTGCCTTCAGATCCCTCCATAGAGGAAATGAGGAAGGTTGTTTGTGACCAGAAGTTCCGACCGAGTATCCCAAACCAGTGGCAAAGCTGTGAGGTAAGGCTATGTTCTTATGTGTATTTTTCCTGTTATAATCTTGAAGTAAGTATCAGGGAGGATTTTCAGTGACCATATAGTTCTCTCTTAATCTAGGCATCTAATTCACTTCATATATGTAGGTATATGTCTTTGTGTAAGACTTCAGAAGGATTTTATTCCTTTTGCAGTATCTCTCTTGATGCTGTTAGGTGGCAGGAACAACCCTAACGTTCCAGTGACTTTACATAAGACTTTATTGCTTGCTATGCCACGTGCCCTACAGGTTAGGCAACTTCCAACAGCATCTGTGCTCTCTGTGGTGATTCAGTAATCCAGGTGACTTTGATCTTGGAACTCTGCTATCTCAACACATAGCTTCCAGAAGTTTGGGTCAGGAGAAGAGAGGAGCTGGAAGGTCACACACTGGCTCTCTAATGCATTGGCTCAAGTGACACATATCACTTCCACTCATGGTTCATAGTCCAGAACCAGCCACACAGTCCCATCTAACTGGAAGGGGGCTGGAAATGTCAGGAGCACAGGCATGTCAGCAGGTTGTCAATGTCTGTGCTACACAGGGTATCACAGTTTCAGTTACCCTTACATTCCATCAATTTTTCCTCATCCCTAACTTGCTGGAGTTTGAGTTTATTCTCTTTCATCAGAAAAGCTTCCCCAGGGCAGGGACCATTGTTGTTTATCTCCTCTTCCTGAACCACACATACAGTGACCATCATAGAGCAGGCATAATGCAAGGCTTGTTCTGCCTACGTGGAGAGAGACTTTTGTAGCTTTCACAAGGAAGTAGAAGGGAAGGTGAGGAAAAAAGACTATAACCATCTAACTAGTTCTAGAACTATTTTAATGCTTTAATCTCCCCCACTCCGGTTATGACTGTTTATCTTCTGCCATATTTAAACATGATGCTTGAGGTCTTTTTTTAAGTAACATCTTTTAGTTTGGCTTTGTCATAGGGATTATTTTATATGGTTGCTTTTTTCCCTCATTTTTTTCTTCTTCATGTTTCACTCAACTCGTTTTCTATTTAGGGCAAGATTTATGTCCTGGTATTTCTGTTTTGTGTAGATATCTTACCTACATACTTATGTGAAAAGCAGAATTTGAGGCATTTAAAATCAAATTGAAATTAATTTTTTTCTAATATTAACCATTTCATGCATATGAGAGAATATGTAACATATATGTAAAATTTGAAGGATAATAATAGAATTCATGACCAAGTTTAAAAAATGAGAACACTTCCAATACCTTTGAAGATTCCTTACCCCTCTGAGAGTTTACTGTTGTAACTAACCAATTTATTGCTGCCTGCTTTTCTTTAGAATCTAGCCATATGGCTTACTTTTGTGTATTTGTGAAACTTATTGAAACTTACTATATTCTTCTTTTTTTTTTACTTTATCTTACATATGTATAGCTATAATCTGTTTATTCTCATATCTGTGTAGTACTCCATTGTATGGATATAGCACAATTTGTTTTTTTCATTGTACTGTTGATTGTCACATGTTTGATTTTTAGGTTTTTTTTTTGAACAATACTGCTCTGTGTGTGTGTGTGTGTGTACATAAAAATTTTTTTTAGGGTGAAAAATATACATTCTTTTGGGGTGTCCACATAGATGGTCACATCACCAGATAATGGGAGTTCTGGAACCAGTCCTCGTGCCTTTCTTTCCTATTGCAGTTTCTAGGACTTCCAGTATAATGTTGCCTGAAAGTGATGATAGTTTTGCTCCTTAAAACTTTGCATGTTTCACCTTTGAGTGTGATATTTACTGTGGGTTTTGTTTGTAAAAACTCTAGTTTAAATATAAGCTGACTTTAGTTTAATGAAAGCTTTCTTCCTGTCTTTGAGGTGATGATATGGCATTTATGCTTTTGTGTATTAGTCTGATAGGTTGCATTTATATTTTGTTCACTGTTAAACCAATCATGCATTCCTGGAGTAGGCCTAACATAGTAATTTTTTATGTGATCAATTTTCTATATTGCTGATATGTGCAGTCTTTGTCCATTTTTGCCCAGTATTTTAGTTCTATTTTGTTTTGTATTAATCTCATGTATTAGATAATGGTGTGATTTTATACCATCATTGTTTTTTAGAATTATGACATTTTCTTTGTTCAATATTCCTTCTTGGCTTTCAGAGCTTCCTTTTAAGATTATTTTCTGACTTCCTGATGTGCCAGTTTTGGTATTTTATTTAAATTGCTTTTTAGTTAGGATGAAATGGTTGTAAGTTCTTTCAGTGTTAGAGCATCTGAAAATGTCTTTATTTTGTCCTCACTTTTGAACGAGTAGTTTATCTGGGCATAAAAATGTAGGTTCAGTTATTTTCTCTGAACACTTTAAAAGTAGTATCCCACTGGCTTCTGACTTCCATTATTGCTGCTGAGAAGTCAAATTATTTTAGATTCTTTTAAATTAATTTATCTTTTATTCCAGACTCCTGTAAGAATTTCTCCATGTCTTTAGTATTCTGTAATTTCTCTATGATGTGTTTGGTATAGATATCTCTTGATTCATTTTGCCGGGAATTTTCAGACTTTCCTCAGTTCTGCAAAATTCTGAGCCATTATCTTTTCAAATAATTCTTCCTTTCATTGTCTTTATTGCTCACTTTTTGAGAACTCATTGTATGTATGTTAGACCTTTCATTTTACTTCTCTTGTCTCTTATTCTTCCCTGTTTTCCATATTTCTCAGCTCCATATGAGCTCAGTTTTACTGCAACATTTTAAGGCTAAGTCTTGATTTTTTTCTTTACCAAGAGCCAAGATTTAGACAGTTTTCTTTACAAAGTTCTTTCTAAAACCACTTCATCCTTACAGTCTGGACTTTGTAAACATCTTGATCTGATACCTCTGTGTGCTTTGAGCTATGTTACCTGTCTTTCACATGTGGTCCATCAATTCTGAAATTCTAAACTGTGAGATCAGCAGATGCCACCAGAGCAGCCCCTTGCTTCAATGATTTCTTACACTTTTCTGGGTTCATGCATTCTCATTGTTTTACCCTCTGAGTATTTATCTTATTTATTTACCAGCTCACTTATACTCACTTATATTTTTTAATTTAAAATGTTTGATATTTGTACTTAGATAATTATTTTATTTTGGCACAATTTACATATGATAAAATGCACAAATCTTAGTATACAGTTTAATGACTTAAAAAAAAGTGTACATGTGTATACTTACCATCCAGATCAATATACAGGGAACTTCCAATCCATCCCATATCCATTTTTGTCTTTCATGTCCCTTCTTAGAATATTTTTTTTGAAGTATCGTTGATTTATAATGTTGTATTAGTTTCCAGTGTACAGCATAGTGATTCAGTTATACATATATATGTTCTTCTTCATATTCTTTTTCATTATAGTTATTATAAGATATTGATATAGTTCCCTGTGCTATACAGTAGGACCTTGCTGCTTATCTACTTTATATATAGTAGTATCTTCAAATCTTAAAACTCTTAGTTTATCCTTTTCCCTTCCTTTCCCCCCAGTAAGCATAGTTTTTTGTCTATATCTGTGAGTCTGTTTTGCATAAGTTCATATGTGTCATTTTATTTTTAGATTCCACATATAAGCGATATCATATGATATTTATCTAGATATTTTTAAATAGTCATTCTACTATATTCCTGGAATTTTCAATTAAAATAGGATTAATAGCCTCCACAGGATTAGTATCTGTGTTTTGACAGGAATTTTAAAAAATATTTTAATTCCACTCAAAGATTTTTAAGAAAGTTTATATAGTCTGAAAGCCCAGGGGCAGAATTTGTTAGTTTTATACATAACATATATAATTTGTTAGAAAGAATACTATTTTCATGCAGTTTGAAGGAAGAGAAAAATTTTATAAAACATATAAATAAAATACATAAAAAGAATAACTATATTTCCATGATTATTGATCATCTCAAGAAGATGAAGCTATTCAATTGATTTCACTTATTCTAACAGGATGTAGTGTAAAGTGGCCATATTCTCTTTCCTAAAATTACATTCAACATAGTACGTGAAATACAAGTGAACAACTTATCACCATACAGAAAAAAACAAATGAAATCAGTCCATTATTTCACATTATGCCAAACTAATATGCCCTTAAAATACTAGTATAATTCCATTAACGAAAATACCAGTGAACAAAGGCTCCCTGTCATCTCCTATAGCCAACTTCAAGGTACACAAATGATGGCTTCAAAGCAGCTATCAGAGCAATGGACCCCGTGCCTCTGCCTAAAGCCAGAGGAGACCACGTGGTGTCTTTCTGAGAGGAGACTCCATGGTCTCTGTCTGACTGGAGATGCCCTGATCCCTGGCTGAGGGGAGAAGCACTGGTCGCTGTCTGAGGAGAAATGATCTTGTCTCTGTCTGAGGGGAGATGCCCTGGTTTTTTTCTGAAAGAAGCAGCTCTGGTACCTCTCTGAGGGGAGACACACATTTCTCTATCAGCGGGGAGAGCCGTGGTCTCTGTCGGAGGAAAGATGCTTGGTCTGTTTCTCAGAGAAGTTGCCCTAGTCTCTGTCTAAGAAGAGGAGCCTTGGTCTCTTTCTGAAGGGAGATGCACTGTTCTCTGTTGGAGGGGCAGCACTCTGGTCTTTTCCTGAGAGAAGTTGCCCTGGTCTCAGTAGGACAGGAGACATCCTTGTCCCTGACTGAGGGGAGTAGCTCTGATCTCTGTCAAACAAGAGAAGTCCTGGTCATTGTCTGAGGGGAGGTGCCGATGTCTGTGGGTGAAAGCACTGTGAACTCTGTCTGAGAGGAGATGCCCTAGTCTTTGTCTGAGAGGAGTCACCCTGGTCCCTGTCTGAGAAGAGACACTTTGGTCTCTGTCTGAGAGGAGAAGCGCTTGGCCACATTCTGAAGGGAGATGCACTGTTCTGTGTCTGAGGGGCAACACTCTGGTCTTTTTCTGACATAAGTCACCCTGGTCTCAGTTGGAGGGGAGACGTCCTGGTCTCTGTCTGAGAGGAGAAGCCATGGTCTCAGTCTGAGGGGAGGATGCCCTCTATTCTTTTCTCTGGAAAGGGACGGATGCCCTGGGCTTTGTCTGAGGATAAGATG